TATATATATATATAGATAGATTGTAAAAGGAGCATTATTCGGCTCCCTACATGTTGATTAATCAAACATCACAAAGATACAAAGTTGGAAAAGTCCACAGTCTAAAAATCAAAATACAATGTGACTCACACCTAAAAAATAACTGTATTAAAATTGTATATATATATATATATATATTTATATATTTATATATATATAAACAGTAGGAAAAAACTAACTAAACTAGAAAGCATAAAGAGATCTGGTAGAAGAGGGATAAGGTCCCCTTGGAGAGGGAACAGTGAGTCCATTAAACTAGTTAACATTAATTATGAGATGTGGGGCCTCAATAGTATCACCATGAAGTAAGAGAGCTAAAGGAGTTAGGGGCCCAGTAGCAACAGATAGAGAATTGGAATGCAGACCTTGTCTGGCAAGCCAATTGACAGGTTTATTTCCCTCCCTATAAATAAAGGTAATATAGAAGCTGAGGATGTTTTTGAAGTTCCTGATTTTCTGTTTCCAATGAGTGTGGTACCAGGATGATTGTTCTTCAGATTCCAGTAGTTTAATGAGCAATAGAGAGTCCACCTCAAGCCAGATGTTGTACCATTCAGCTTTACAAGCAAAAGTTAAGGCCCAAAAAACTACTATAAGTTCTGCCTCAAGTGCATCTCTGGCTTCAGTGGGAGCTTGGAAAAAAAGGAGGCACTTGCTGGAAGCGTCCCTAAAAACACCCCCCACCCCTGCATCCCAAACATTAAAACTGCCATCAGTGTTAATCTTAATAGTTGACTGTTGAGGGGGTTTCCAATAGACCTTATCAATCTTATATGGCTCTCTAAATTTAGTGATCTTAATCTTGCAGATATTAGGGAAGTTTTTATGCTGAATCAGCTTGGTTAAGTAAGAGATATAGTTTCCGATCACCTTTGAATTCTGGATATCTTTACCCTCATGTTTAGTGCTATTTCTAGCCATCCAAAGAAACCAGCAACTATGAAAGGAATAGGATCATACTTTTTACTTTGCCAGCTATGCCAATCTTCAGAAAGAGTAGACCAATCTAGATCAGATCCATCCAATGTGAGCATAGCCATAACTTCTGTCCAGACTCCTTGAGCAAAGTTACAAGTAAAGAAAAGGTTGGTGAGGTTTTCCTCGTTCTTCAAGCATAGGAAGCATCTAGAAGGCCCCTTCAATCCCTTTAATTTAAGTATATCATCAGTGGGCAGAAGCTTGTTGAAGAATCTCCAATAGAAGAAAGATATGGAGAGGGAAAGAAATCTGTTTCATATGGCCTCACCCCAAGAGACCAGGTCCCAGCAGAAAAGCTTAGCATATATAGCTTTAGTAAGACTTTGGTTAGTGTAGCTTTGCCAGATAATTCTATCCTTCCTGCTTCTATCAAAGTTGATTTTGGATATTTGAGTAATATAAGGTTCCTGGAGAATAGACTGAAGTTTAGTAATGGACCAGTGATCACCCTCCCAGAACTCAGCCACAGTAAGGTGGGGGTTGAAATCAGAAGGGGGGGCACTGAGCCATTCCTTAGGACATCAATGATCCAGCCAGAAATTCACCTTACCAGTCCCCAAATCCCAAATGTACATCTCCCCAGCAAGGTGCCTTAATTTGAGCATGTTTCCAGTTTCCTTGTAATGAGAGAGGGGTGCTGATCTTTACAGTACTCGCCCCTCATGAATTCCCCTCATGAATTTAGCCCAAAGTTTAGCCCAAAGTGAAGTTTGAGCTCTGAAATTGGTCCACATTTTGCAAAAGTTTACTTGGATGAGTTGTTGTAGCCCTTTAAACCCTATACCCCCAGCCAGGGTGGGTTTAGCAACCTTCTGCCAAAAGGCCCAATGAAGTTGTTGCCTTTGGCCTGCCCATAGGAATCTATTGAAAGCTCTCTTCAGTTGAATTTGTGTGTTTTTCTTCATAAAAGTGGTTTGGAGAATATAAGAGGGAAAAGTAGTAAAGATACTTTTGAGTAAAGTTATCCTGCCCCCATTGAAAAGGAAGGAATGAGACCAGCTAAAAAGGTGAGAGTTAATCTTGTGAAAAAATTCATCAAATTGAATAAGCTTAGATCTTCTCTTTGATCTTCCAATATATATATATATATATATATATATATGCATGTATTATATGTATCTATATTTATGTAGGCATGTATGTATGTATGTATTTATGTATATATATCTATATATGTATGTATGTATGTATGTATGTTTGTATATATCTTTACATATGCATGTATGTATGTATATATCTATAGATATATGTATGTATGTATGTTTATATCTTTACATATATATGTATGTATGTATATTAATTCTTGAAGACGAAACCTCTGATCATTATCGAGAGTTTTCTTATGTGACTTCGGTTGTCTAACATGTAATTAACTATAGGGGCTTGCTCCTATAGGGAATTTAAGAACCCAGATTAATCTAAACCCTATCTAATCTATGTATTAGGTAGGGGAACTTGTCAGATTTAAATTTTGCAGACCAAAATAGAGTCATAAATTTTTAAGTTTAAATAGTTAAGCCTACCAATAAGTGATATGTTCATCCTTCAAGATGATATATCATTTATGATATCGTACTCAGCTGTCTAAACTATTAGATATATGAGATCTACTCGGTCTCATCATTTTTCAAAAAATAAAAGGATACCATTTTCACAAAATTAAAATTACATTATATATGTATATATATATATATATTAAATTTGTATGTATGTATGTATATATATATATGCATGTATCTATATGTATGTATCTATATGTATTTATATATGCATGTATCTATATGTATGTATATGCACTTGTATCTATATGTATCTATATCTATGTATGTATCTATATATGTATGTATGTATAAGTATCTATATCTATGTATGCATGCACGTATGTATGTATGTATATATCTATAGATATATGTATGTATTTATGTATATATCTATAGATATATGTATGTATTTATGTATATATCTATAGATATATGTATGTATTTATGTATATATCTATAGATATATGTATGTATGTATGTTTATATCTTTACATATATATGTATGTATGTATATTTATATATATGTCCGTATATATGTATGTACATACTGCTTCGTCTGCGTGGACGGGTGCTCGCGTCTACTTCGTCTTCGTCGACGGGTGTTCGCGTGTTCTCGTCCCGTCTTCGCATCCAGACGACGAGGCAGGGCGAGTTATCGTATTTTCTTCCAGACGACGTCCTCATCTGCCCAGGACGCCTCCTTCGCAGTCCTCTCGTCTCGGTCTGGCGATAGAGCTGCTACTCTGCTAGCTTGGTCGCGTTCACACTGCTCTGTTCGCATTTCCTTTCAGACGACGTCTCCCCGCTTCCTTCCTGTCCGACAAATCTTGTCGCTTGTTGGTAGAGATGGCTATCCGTTCTTATGCTACTGCACTTGTCGGCGACCTCTCGATTGCTACTTGTGCTCCTCTTTCAGAATCAGAGACTGGTTTTAGTATAAAAAAATCTTGCAATGTTCCTCATTCTTTTCACGATGCTCTTGAAGGTGGTGATGATCACACCATAAAAAAATTGATTAAAAAACTGAGGAAAAAAAATGGGAAGTCTGCTCTTAGTCTCACAGAGGTTGAAACCAGTACTCTTGCGTCCTCTTGGCGTGTTGCTCTAGTGGGAAAATTCATTATGGTAACCCAAAATTGGAGATCATTCGGAAAGAGTTTGAGGCTTTAAAATTGGGCAGTTGGAATATTGGTTTACTTGAAGGTTGGTACATACTGATTCAGTTATCTCATGATGTTGATTATACCCCCATATTTTCTTGGAAAGTTATCAAGATCGACAACCGTTGTATGAAAATTCTGAAGTGGACTGTTAATTTCGACCCAAAGGCGGAGTTCCCTATCATTCTAGTTTGGATAAAATTTCTGGAGTTAAAATTACATCTGTTCAATTTGGAAATTCTCTACTCCTTAGCAACTGCTTACAGTAAGCCTCTCAGGGTTGATAGTTCTACGCTTGCTGTCACCAGAACCTCTGTGGCTTGTGTGTGAGAAATCACCCAACCAGCTCCGGATGATGTATTGATTAGATCCACTCACAACAGTTATTGGCAAAATGTTGAAATCGAACCACACCCTCTTTATTGCTCTTATTATAGTATGTTTGCCCATAACTCTACTATTTGCTATCATTTACATTCTCATCTAAGACTGAATATCACTAAATAACAGCCACCTATTATCCCAATTGAGAAGACGCAACCTGATCTTCTTCCCAACACCGCAGTTCCTGAAGAAGAACAACATACTACAGCTACAGATCCAGTTGTGCTTATACCATCCACTGTTGTTGAAGAAGATTCACTTACATGCCAATACACACGAGAATGCTCCTTTGATCTAATAATAGATCAGAAGGTACAACATGTAGTTGCTTCTAATGTTCAACAATCTGCACATCTCCAGCACACTTTAGACCAAGATCAGGTGAGTCAATCTTCGGAAGAGGAATGATAGGTCTATTCTAGGAGGAAGAAAAAGAATGGAGGCCGACTCCTGCTCGGGAACGTATTGGATGACACATTGATTACTACTGACAATGACAATCATCTTACTAACTTGTTAGCTTGCTCCTTTCCTAGAACCACAGGCAGAGGCAAAACCAAATTGGGTTGCTCTCTAGCCACCTGATACTTTGTATTTCAACATGTTTAGGCTTTTTCTTTATCTCTACTGTAATTTTCTGTATTTTCTAGTTTTGGTGTGAACTGGGTGTCCTATTTGGGCCCTTCAACATATTGTATCTGTATCTTTCTTAGTATCTTTCTTTCTGGTTAGTATATTAGCCTTTTTGGGCTTTCTATAAAAAAAAAAATACATACATATAGATACATACATATATACATAAACACACACACAGTCTATATATATATATATTGGATCGAGATAGAGATTTTAAATTCTAGTGGAAACAGACATGTTCAACAATATATTCCCATTTTCTGTTTTGAATTTCCATGTTTTATGGTAAAGCCTTGGGCCATGTAGAGTAGTTGCTTATGGATTTAACTAAATACAATATGCTATTTACTTTATTTTTTTTGTAATACAGATACAAATACCGGATGCTCGTGCTGTGCACTGTGACAATACTGATTTATTAAAAATATGTTTTGACTAATTATTTACTCCTTTGCAGGCATATTTTTTCGACCATGTCTTCTATTGCAGAAACATTCATTTTTCTTTATGTAGGAATGGATGTTTTTGACATTGAGAAATGGAAAATGACGAAAATTAGGTATCCCTTACTATCAATTTTTTTTGTTCATGTTTGAAAAATAGTGGATGTTAATGCTATTTTTTATTAGCCTATTAACATTATTCCTTTTTGTAGTCTTTATTTTTTTTTACATTTTGTATCTTCCTCTACCGTAAGGTTGCAAATAATACATTTTCAGCAGAAGTTTTGGTGCTAGTCCAATTGCTAAAATATATAAATCTTAGGTTCCATAGCACTTAATTTTTATAATTCCTCAGAAGTGCCTCTTCTCACCAGTATGGCTATTCGCAATCCAATAAACAAACCTACGCTTATATTTAAACATACATAAACAGGATATAGAAGGCATAGTGCATAATTGTAATTGGCCTTTGTTTGAACTTTCTAGATGACGAAGCAAAAGCTGGTTGGGTTCTTGAAGATTTGGAATGCTGGGATGATTATTGTGGATTATTTGTAGGTTAATGTAGTGTTGTTAGTGGTCATCCACAATTAGGGATACTTGCTTGAATAATGAGAAGATAATGAATACAAGATTAATTATTAAGGTCTCACTAATGATCTTGAAATCAATTGAGGCACCGGTCCACTTTAAACAATAGGATTGTTGAGACTCTTATCAATGAACTTCAAAGGAGAGAAGAAGCCAACAAGCTAGGCACTTGCACCATGTGTGGGTGTGGGTGTGGGTGTGGGTGTGTTCATATAGTAGTCTTGTGGGCTTGTGTGTGCATGTGCGTGTGTGTGCACTCGTGTGCTTGCGCCATATAAATTACTCAAGTGTGGTATGCCATATAAATTATCATTACATAATATTTTATTTAGTTTCCAATGAAATGAAGGCCGACTATAAAACAAATAGGAAAAAATATGTCAAAATTGAACAGCAAGCACATGTTGATTCCGTAGATTGCAATGGCAACCAAGCATAGGCAATATCATGAAAAAATATCCTCGTATTGCTTGGAATTGAAAGGAGGTGGGCTAGGCATGACTGGACATTGAATGAGATTTATATTGATTGATCTTGATCATCAACCAATCACAATATTTCTTGTTTTATCAAACAATCACAATGTGATGGATAAGGCTGATCATGTAATTAAAGGATAAAAAATCAACTCTCCATTGTATCAAGCTGTTTGATCTTCGCATAATCAATCATTATGATTTTGTCTGAGATTGGATTCCAATGTTTCATAACTTACTAGCAGCTAAGAATTCCATTTCATAGAGTTAAAGTCAATGTAATCTTCATAGAAACTGGAGCTAACTAGTCTAAATCAATGATATTCTTTAAAATCAATTCCTCTTTTCTTCCTTTCTTTTTCGGCCTCCTCTTTATTTTTGGCTTCTACTGCTTAGTTGAAGAATTAAAAAAAAGAAGAAATATTCAGTTCAATTTTTAATGCTATGGTTTTATGATATAAGTAATACTTATAGATTATAACATAATTCTCTTCTTAAGTCCGTTTTATAGCAGTCATTCATATTGATACGTCATGAACAAATTTCCAACATCCGGCACAAATCTTAAGGCATGATAGATCTCGATGCACCTTTTTTAGCTAGAAACATTCAAACTGATTGAAAGTCATCTAGAAGTCCAATTTCAACAAATTTGCAGTCATACTAATAGATTCGATGAGACATACTCATTAATACCAAAATTGGTCCAACTTGAGTCAAATCAAGCCCTGATCAAGATATAAAACCATGTTTGGAAGTTTTTCAGACGCATTTGAAAGATCAAACGGATGCTAAATCTGTCGAGTTCATAGTTGAATCGAGCTTCTAGACATTACAAATCGAACGAGCCTAATAACGCTCAATTTCGACATTGTTAAGACACTTAAATGTTCATCGAACTCTGTGGCTGAGAGCCTTGTTGGTCGAGCTCAAGGTAGATTAAATAACTCAAATGAAGATGTGGTGTAACAAAAAATCAGCAATTAGCATTGCCAACAATCCGGGTCAACATGATAGAACCAAACATGTGTAGATAGATGCTTCCTTCATCAAGGAAAAGATGAATAACGGCTACTAGAGCTAAGTCATGTAGCCACTGGAGAGCAAGTGGCTGACTACCTCACTAAAGGACTTTGTTCATTAAATTTGTCTAGATAATGTGACAATATGGGCTTAGTGGATATCTTTTGCCCATCAAGACCATCTTGAGGGTGAGTGTTGAGATTTATATCTTATTTGAGGGGTCTAGTTGTAAATAGAAAATATAGAAAAAGTTTTAGGGTTATTTGTAAAAGGATTGTAAGGCTCTATAGAAGCCCAATTCATGAATGAAGAAAATAAGCTTTTTACCAGAATAATCATTTCTTCAAACCGTACTTGAGATTGGATTCTTTTGCGCTTTAGTGACACATTAGAATAGTTTGCAATTTAAGCGGGCAATTGAAGTAGTAATTTCTACAAATTTATTGTTATATTGATGACCTTCCAAGACTGTTTAGATTATAAGTTGTCCTTTCTCTTTCACATAAGTTTCCTCCCTTCATATTTTACTGAATAGTTTCTTACAAGTACATCCTTGAATTGTATTTTGCTCATTTCAGATGAATTTAGATATGTTTCAAGTGAATTAATCACTGGTTTTAGATTTTAACTTTTTAGTTGAACTTAACTTTTTATTTGTTTGAAACATCAACGTCATGGAAACACATGATTCATTTATTTTGAATATGAGCTTTTGGCATTAGAAACATTTTAATTTGTTTATTATGTGATTATTTCCTTAAGTTTTCTTTTCCTGTTTCGAAAATATGTTCTTGATCTAGCATGCTAGACCGATGCTTTACAGTTGCACTCCTTTATCTGCTAAATATAGTTTATGGAAGGGTCTTCTTTCTTTTGGCAGTGTCAAGGCTACTGTTGGTGTCAATTTTATCCTCATAATTTTGGTGTTACTTGGACGCGCAACATTTGTATTTCCTCTCTCTATTCTATCAAATTACATCAGCTCGGGTCCTGAGAGGTTGATAATTACATTTAAGCACCAGGTTGCGTTTCTTTGGAGCCCTTATTATTTCATCATATTTCACTAGCTTATTTGGGATATCATTTCATTTTAATCGAAGACTTACAATTTTACCCTGCTTCCCTATATTACTAGTCTCTTTTTTTTGGAAGATTTGCATGCATTCCACCCAATTCCTTTGTATTGATATATCTAACACCTGAACTTAATTTTTTACGTACATCCCACCATACCTATGCATGAAAAGTTGTATTTCGCTTTTTTAAAGTTAAAATTACAGCATTTTTTATGTGATATGAATGAATCGGGTTGGTATAAATATAAAAAGTAAAGTTTAGATGTTAGATATGTAAATAGATAGAAATTGGCTGGTTTGTATGTAAATCATTTATAATGTTTAACAGTTTATAATTTGGTGGGCTGGTCTCATGAGAGGAGCCATTTCGATTGCTTTAGCATTTAACCTGGTATGTGGTTCACCATTTTGTGCTTACATTTCAGTTATTTTAAACAACTTTTTGATATGTATATAATTTAAAACTGCAATTAATGTTTATTCAACAATCCTCAGTTCACTATTTCTGGAGTTACGTGGGACCCAGTTCATGCAACAATGATCACAAGCACCATTGTGATTGTGCTTTTCACCACTTTGGTATGTTCTTATGCGAGTTTTTAATGAATGTTGCTTCAGTTTTTTCTGTTATTTTTGTCTCAAACTAACATCAAATATACTTTAATCAATCACATGTTTTGCTGGCTGCTTGCTTTTTAATTTTATTTACAGTTTTAGAATCTGTGGAACTTTATATATAATGAAGCGTATAGTTACAAATAATAACCTATTTTCAGGCATCATTATTGCCGTTGATTCTCCGTTGCTTAGTATGTGGTGATAATATCCATGGTTAGACCATGAACCAGTTGTATGTCTGAGCCGATAACATACTAAAAACCATCCCCAGCATCAAACCAGCTAGAACTGTTTTGAATTGCCTGTTAGACCATTGAACTGAAGAATTGGTCTCGATTTTAAAGAACTAGTCGGTTCTTTGTCAGTTTAGGTCATTTTAATCTTGTGGCCAATTTTTGAAAAATTTTTTTATATAAATAAATATAAAATTTAATCATCTTTTTTCCCTAATATGCTAATAGAGGAAACTACAAGCCATATTTCCGATTCATTTTATTGAGGCATGTTGAGTCCCTCCCAACTCAATTGTGATCCTGAACTCTTTCGCCGGCCACTCGCAATCTGTTCTTCGGCTGCACATTTATAGGTCATTGGTCATTTATTTACATTTTAAAAAGAAACAAAAACCAAGAAGATTCAAAAAAAAAAAAAAAAAAGACGACTAATCATTTAAATATTGAGATGCTTAATTTACATCTCACAATGTATTTTTTGATACTATATATATTACATTATTATTATATTATTTATGTCTTATTTAAATAATTTTATTATTTATTACGTATATATTACATTATTATTATATTATTTATGTCTTAAATAATTTTATTATTTATTACATCATTCGATTCAATCCTTGTTGAACATTTGAATCTTGAACATCTCCCTCTACCATTCTAATGTATGGTTCAATTTTCCGAACCTTGATAATTTCTCTGCCTGGCATTATTACCATGGTCTGGAAAACCGGACCATCGATCGGTTCAATTGTGAACCGACTAGTGGTTCGGTTAGGGTTGACCTAATAACCACCCCTGGATCGAACCAGATTGAACCTATTTGAATCGACCTAGAATTAGAAAAGATTGGCTGGTTTAACCTCTATAACAACTACTACAAATAATAATATTTAATTTTAAAGGTGGAAAACCCATGTGTTGTTGTTGTAGCTTCCTATACTCCTGTTTTTCAATATAAAAGAATGGTGAAACTCAAGATTTAGGGTTCGTTTGGGGCAACTGCATTTTAATAATAAGTTGTTGTGCAGTATCTGTCACAAGAAGCTGCTGCGTAGTGGCTGTTTGTTTGTTCTGCAACTATTTCTAGATAAATGACCATTTTACTTTTGTATAGTAATGTTTTTTGCACAAGAACTGTCATACCAATATATTTTATACTTTACAAGCAAAAATCCAGTGTAGAATATTAAAAAAATGTTAAATATCTCACTTAACAGTGAGTATCATGATTGTTGAAATTAAGAAATAAACTAATAATATATCATTTTATAATATGATAATATTATTTTTGAACTATAGATGACGTATGTCACGTGCGAAGCCATCCTTCAGGAATACTCTCCATGCCCGATCACTCTCAGCGGTGGAATTTTCCAGTCTATCCGCCCACAAAAAAAGACAGTTTTCCGTGACTCTTAGCAGGTACTTGTAGAATTTCTCCTGTAGCTATTTGTCCGACGTGAAATTAGCAGGGAACATTGAAGTTTACTGTGACAGTGCATCCTCAGGAGGTACAAAAAATCCTCGAGCTAATCTTTCATGAATGTTTTAAAAGATCTCTCATTAGACATAACACAAGTAAAAATTGATAAAAAAAGTAATTAATTATAGATTTATACAACTTTGAGGTCTTAGAGAATTCAATTTATCATCCGAGGAATCCGTCACTAAAAAAGTTGCAGACCTTATAAAAAAGAAATTAATGGTTGCCTTTAACTCTTGTAATACCCAACTCGTGTGTGTTGCACATGCATATCACCAAAAAAGACCATCCAGGAGAACCTAAAAACCATAGCTCCAAAAAAAGAGAGGAACTTGGTTGCCTTCATTAGCACTTCACATGTCACACCAGCTAACAACGACAAACAAATCATCCAGAATAATTCATAAAATCAAATGTCTCATCACAAACATCCAAAATTCACCAAAAGAAAAATAAAAGAAATGCAGAAGGAAAAAAAAACATTTACAAACAACATACAAAACTCAAACAATTAATATCAAATTCACAAATAACAGAAATAAACATCAATTGTATAAAATATTAATACAATAAATAATGAATCTCTTTAATAATCATTACAATTAATAATACGATGAATACTAAAATCACCTATAATATCGCATTCGTAATTTGTTTCCTCAACTCTGTCATCTCGCTTGCACATTTCCCGTCTTTAGTGCAGTTCTGGAGAACATCATTTTCAGCTTGTAACAAAGTATGTTCAAGACGGTACTCAAAAGTCTCGACATGGGCATACTCTTGATCTTCGTCTGTCATATGAAAGTTGATATCGTTGCAGGAAGGGTGTCATTAAATGTAATCGTGGAGATTCATCATGACAATTATGATCTGCACCTATTTGGGAAACAGATAAGATGACATATCGCCAAGTATCACTCATTTATTCTTTCAAATACCGAAGGTTCTCTCAATGACACCTCATAAGAATGAATGTCTTTTATTGAACATTTTTTTTATGTCTTACGTGATATTGCTAACTCGCTCAAAGTCAGACATGTGGTATCTCATATCAAGATAGAGCTTGAGATACCCTCGCTGCAATAGATATCTAACATCAACCAAATAGTATTTACCTGATGTGAATTGCATGATCAGTATTGGGGGAAAAAAGAATTAGGAGAGTAACCCAGTCCTAAGCATACCTGTGAGAGGATGTGAGAAGTTATACTTGTTACTATGTGTTGCAGCTTTGAAAATTCGACTGTCGTGTGCATTGCCCTCCCAATCAGCTTGAAAATTCGACTGTCATGTGCATTGCCCTCCCAATCAGTTGTGACAAGTAAAACACATGTTGAAGTGGCATATAGCCATGGCATTCTGCTTCGGGGACCCACAAATGCCGATGAATGCGATCTTCTCATTTTTTAGAACACGTGCACCAATGTGTGTTTTGTCGATTTCTCCAATATAATTCTAGAATGATAATGAATAGGTTTGTGATTGTGATAATTACTTGAAAATCAAATGTAATAAATAGGAGAAATTATCTTAGTATGACACGTACCACATATCGTATGAAATCTCTGTGGGGGTTCATTAAAACTTAAGATCTGTTGGTTTATGACTTGTGAAGAAAAACTTAATAAGTGCAATCAACCCTATTGAGAAGTTTTGGTAAATTGTTTCGGACGAGTGTTGAAATTGCTCCATTGCTCGCATTGATTCTTGTTGCAATAATATGTAGAGGGTTCTCGCCAATACCTCTAGTGAAGTCGTTCTGGCTGGGCCATAAAATCCATGCTTTTTGCGTAATTCCTTAACAGATCGGTGAATATTGCATGTGCCATGCGGAACATATTACTAATTCTGGTTGGGTGGTCCTCAAGCAACTCCTCAATCTATTTGTCGCCAGCATATGAGGATGTCATGCAATGGGAGCGCTCTTTGTACGAGTTGTAATACAACAACTGCAACTCTCTTTCTGCGCCTTTCTATGGTTGCATCCATGTATTTCGGTATCAAAGTGGCGAGCACATATTCTTTAATGAATTAGCTACAATCATATAAAGTTACGAACAAAATCAACTTAAGCAAATAACGTTGCAGAAGTAAATAGAAAATATAATGAGAAATGAAAAACTCCCAAGTAAAACATGTCCCAAGTAGTTTAAATATCCACGACAAAATGAAAAAGAAAAGGCAAATATAAATGTCACATGCGATTGTAAATAAAAAAAGTCTTCAAATGTTCGTACTCTCATAAAAAATGTCGTACGTAAGCCACCATATGGCCAGTGGGCATCCTGATGAAAAACTCTTTGGTCGAATCTCCAAGTAACTTCATCCTGATGAAAAACTCCATAGAAAACAAATACAACGGCAAGTCCTCAATAATTTTTGGAATTATATTAAGAATTTGCAGAACCTGCTGGACTGCATGAAGCCATCGACTTTGATATTTGTCTTCTAAGGAAAACAACTCCAATTTTTTTTTACCTGTGAACGCTTAGAGCTGCTCATGGACTCAAGTTCATAGAGGTCCGAGATAGAGTCTTCAGTGGAATCACCCTATTTGTTGGCTCACTATTTTTCGGAAATGCCACCAAACCCCGTCTCACTGGGGGCACATGTATATTGTCTGTTGCCACGACCCCCCGAAACATACGATTCAACTTCTCCTCTAACTCAGGATCGATTCCATTGTAATTAAAATTTTTCGTAGCAGACACACTACAAATTCATATAACATGTAGTTCAATTTAAAAACAAATTAAAAATTAACCAAAATAGGGGGACATTTTAGAAATGCTCACTGCGAGCCTTTCTACTCACCAGTCTTCGAAAGCATTAATCGTTCGCTTTACCAGATCCAACCCAAAACCCGTTGACCTTGTTTTAATTTCTTTCAGTTGTTCCAATTCTTCTCGAGTTGATCTCACTTGTTTTTTAACTGCATCTTATTGTACTCTCTGTCTGTATCTTAGTTGAATTTTGTGATAATATTTTGTCGTCATTCTTTGTTGAAATGGGTTGTCGGCCTATTTCCCAGATCGACCTTTTTGAGGCTAAGGTCGTAAAATATTATTTGTCTCTTTGTCCCACATCTTAGATGAACCAGCCTCTTTGGTCTTAACTATTATGTTACTATCATGAAAAAAACTGATTACCATAAATAGAAATGCCACAATTTTGTAAATCAAAGAAAAATCAGAATACTACAATATTGTCAACACGACCTTCACACAAACACTTCTACACACAGGCATTTGAGGACACCAAAACAACCACTCCAACACATTCACACCACATCACCACCTACACATCACACACCAACACTTTCACAAAACCACACCACTATCTCCACACCACACACCACCTCATCACACAACCTACCTTCTCCACAATACACACCACCACCTCCACACCACACAACTCTCCTCCACCACCATCTCAACAGCACACCAACACGTCCACACACTACTACCTCCACACCACACAACCACCCGACATCATTGCACCAACACATCCACACACCACACCACCACCTCCACACCACACACCACCACTTTCACATTACACACCACCTTCACACTACCACTACACACACCAAACAACTTTCCTACATCACCACCTCCACACGACACCACACCACACTAACACATCCACACACCACACCACACCATCACCTCCACACCACACACCAACACATCCATAAACCACACCACTACCTCTACACCACACACCACCACTTCCTCATCACTAACACTACACACCACCACCTCCACACCACATAACTCTCTTACACCACCGCCTCCACACCACACCAACACATCCACACACCACCATCTCCACATCACACAATCATCTGACACCACCACACAAACACATCCACAACAACACACCACCTCCACACCACATTCCAATGCATCTACAAACCACACACACCAATGCATACACAAACCACACCACTGCCTCCACACCATCACCTTATCACTACACAACTACCCTACACCAGCACCTCCACATCAAACAACTCTACGACACTAGCACCTCCACACCACACAAACACATCCACACACCACTACCTCCACACCACACCAACACATCCACACCACAACCTCCACACACCACACACCACACCACCACCTCCACACCACACACCGCCACCTCTACCAACTTTTGGGCAACACTATCAACCGAATTTAACATCAACCGAATAGAGTGAAGAAAATCTAAATCCATCAACCAGATGTAGCATAATGAACCCAAATCATCAATTGAGTATATCATTGAGAATTGAAAAAAATCCCAAAATCCAACATCAACCAAAAACCATCTGGGATAAATGAATGGTGTGTGGGACGATGGGGTAGCGGGATAAATGAATCGCAAAAAAATGCGGGCAGCAGGGTAAAACCTGCGGCCCGCGTTTCATATAAATTATCCAAATAAGCACTGGGATCGCGATTGCCAAATGCACCCTGCACAACAGGTCAGCCCCAACAGGGCCTTAAAGTTGTGGGACTAAACTATAAAAACTAAAACAATTTAATAATATGTTCCTTTGCCCTTATTTGCTTGCACAATTATTTGTTTTTTTTATATTATTTTTCTTTATAATTTAGGAAACCGTGAAATACAATAGCCAAATATTATAATAAATAAATATTTATTGATTTAATGCTTATTTGAGTTTCATTCTACGGTTGGCTTATGAAATTTTGAGGGATTTATATGCATGCCACTCGATTGTTATCTTTTTACATTTCTAACACCTAAACTTTAATTTTTACAAACATACCATTTTACCCGTGAATGAAAAGATGAATTTCGGCATTTAAAAATTGAAAAAGTAGCACTTATGATGTGATATGAATGATTTGGGTGGTGTAAATCTAAAAAGCAAAGAATAGGTGCTAGATATGTAAAGACATAAGACATGGGTGGTCTGCATTTAAATGCCCCTAAAATTTTTAAAAAATTATTATAGTGCAATTCTTAAATTTCATATTTAATTTTTTTAAATGATTGTTATTAACTTTTAAAATAACATCTAAAATTATTATGATGTTGGTTGTTTAAATATTGAGAAGTTTATTTTATATTTTACAATCAATTTTTTTTTTTTTTAAATTACATTATTTTTCTCACATTTAATTAAATTTATAATTTAAGTAAGTCATCCGGTAGAACCCCAGTCTTCTTTTACCCATTCAGTCTAATTTTCTAAACTTTGATTATTAGTTGTCGTTTATTATTCTTTTTAACTTGGTTTAATGAAATGCAAATCTAAAATGTTGGTTTCAGGCACTCGGCATCTTCACAAAACCACTTGTAAATAAGCTAATACACCAAGCTCGAGGGAAGAGTGAACCACAAACCAGAGTTGGCAAAGAAGATCCAACTGCTCCTCTTCTTTCCATAGAAGAATCTACGGATTCCAGTCTTGTCAAAACAACAAGAAGCTTAGCGGAAATAATTTATCATCAAAATTATTATGATGTTGGTTGTTTAAATATTGAGAAGTTTATTTTATATTTTACAATCAATTTTTTTTTTTTTTAAATTACATTATTTTTCTCACATTTAATTAAATTTATAATTTAAGTAAGTCATCCGGTAGAACCCCAGTCTTCTTTTACCCATTCAGTCTAATTTTCTAAACTTTGATTATTAGTTGTCGTTTATTATTCTTTTTAACTTGGTTTAATGAAATGCAAATCTAAAATTTTGGTTTCAGGCACTCGGCATCTTCACAAAACCACTTGTAAATAAGCTAATACACCAAGCTCGAGGGAAGAGTGAACCACAAACCAGAGTTGGCAAAGAAGATCCAACTGCTCCTCTTCTTTCCATAGAAGAATCTACGGATTCCAGTCTTGTCAAAACAACAAGAAGCTTAGCGGTTCTTTTGGAAAATCCGATTCACACAATTCATGTCTATTGGAGAAAGTTCGATGACGCTTACATGAGGCCAGTGTTTGGTGGACCAACAAGTTCTCGAGGAGAACGGCGGTAATGTTCAGTGCCACATTATTTCAGGTTTTAGGATAAGCTGTTAGAACTATAATATACTTTATCTGAAAGACGGTAATAATGATTTTGTATATTGGCCTCCTTTTTTTATGGTATTTTTAGCATGATAGTTCTTTTTCCTCTCTATTGGATGATTTACCTTTAGGATCAGAACGATTTTGTGGTGGCACCAAATGATTGTATATTTGTCTTTTATTGTTATTTTGTGTCAGTGTTGAGTGGATCATTTGCATTTTGTAGTTATAGTTGGAGTATTTGTGGTAGTCTTCTCTGTTAAATGGGTCTTATGCATATGAAAGAGGTGTTAATTTTATTTTGGATTAAATTAAAGATTGAATGTCAAATATTCAAAGCAGTTACATTTTTTGTGATTAATTTATTTTCATAGAATTATTATTTTTCGTAATTCAATCTTTTGATTATATAATGCTTATCCATAAAATTGATGTGTATATAGCCCTTTTGTTATACATGATCATAATTTAATTAGTCTGAGAGATAATTTTGGATAAAATTTGTATAATTAAATTTTTAAATTACAAAATGTGAAATTTAAGGGTTAAATTGTGTATATATGAATAATTGGAATGATTTTGAGCAATTGAGCTCGGCCTTTTTATTTTTTGCTTGTTTTGAACTATTGAGTTAAAATAACGATCAATGATTTTTTTTAAGCTATGATATTTTGAACTGTTTTTTTTTTTTCTCTATTTTCCTATTTTAACATTGTTTTAGGAATAATAAGAGCCTTATGTCACGCTCCGCGACATTCGAGAAATCATCGAGACGAACAGAGGATGGAAGATTCTAGAGAAGGTCCGAATATGAGGAGTCATCAAAGGGGCTCTAGAAGATTCCACCACGTTCAGGGGAGAGCAAGAAGGAAAAGCTCTAAAGAGGATCTAAGAATAACCTAGAATGTTCTAGAGTTATTTATGTACATTAGAATAGTCTAAGAGATAGAATATTATATTGTATTGGAAATGTACCTTTTGCATGCAATGTTAAGGTTGGTAAGGTTTGGAAATTTTAAACCACCTCTTGCTTTCAGTATTTTCATTTGGTGCCACAGGATAGTGCAACATTGACTTTAAAAATCTTCAAAATGCACCAAGGAATATATATAGATTTGAGCCATCATAATAAGAATATATTTGGGAGCTGTAACTTATTAATAAGTTGTTGATAAGTAGAAGCCGCACATAAACTACTGAGCAGCAGTTGATCCAAAAGCTAGTTGATTGTTTGATTTGTGTTGTTGGAAAACAACTATTTTGTAGTTGTTTCTGGATAAATGATCATTCTATTCCTATATATTAATGTTGTTTGCAACATAACTGTCATAACAATATATTTGATACTTGAGAAACAAAAAAAAAAGAAAAAACAATTCAGAATAGTATAAAAAAATAAGATATAAACCTCTCTTAATAGTATCATGATTGCTAAAATAAGAAAAAAAAAGCTTTTAAAATTATATTCTAAAATATGATAATATTAGTTTTGAAATGCAAATGACCTATGCCACTATCTATGTCGTCCTCCAGGGATGTCATTCATTCCCAATCACTATCTACAGTAAAATTTACTAAACAGTCTGCCTACTAGAAGAAGTCACTCTTCTTCTTGATTCTTTGTGAGCACTTGTAAAACTATCTCGCGTAGCTATGTGTCGGATGTGATGTCAATAGGAAAGTTTGAAGTCAGCAGTGGCAGAGCAATCATCAGGAGGTCCCTGAAATCCTATAGCTCATCTTCTCTAAATGATTCAAAAAATAATTCATTAGTCATAACACATGTTTAAATTGACAAAACAGTAATCATTTACAATTTTATGCAAGCTCGAGGTCTCATAGAAGTTAGTACACCAATCCCACCAGACCTGTCACAACAAGAAGACAACAGACCAATCAAGCCCGTGTGTGTCCCATATGCATATCACCAGAAAAAGGCCATCTAAAAGTACCTAAAAAACTCCACCATAAAAAAGAAGAGAGGAATTTGGTTTATCAGGATTTTACATGTGACACCAACCAACAACTAACAGGCCATCCATAAGTACTTCAAAAACCATATCATTCCAAAAGAAAAGAGGAACTTAGTTGCCTTTATTAGAATTTTAAATATGACACCAACTAACAGTGACTAACAAACTATCCATAAGTATCCACAAGGTCGAGTGTCTCATCATGGACCTCGCAAACCCACAAAAAAAGAACGAAAAACAAATGAAAAAAGCGAAAAAATAATTACAAAAAGCATAAAACTTATAATATGTAAAATATCAATAATACATGAAAAATTAAATTAAAAAAAATTTATAAAATAAATAAGCCTATTTGATTGGAACCTAATGCAAGCCCGTGGATCCTGTTATAGTTTCCTCCATAATTTTCAGTCATTTTTTAACTGATCTCACTTGTTCTTAAATTGCAACATATTTTTACTCCATTCTTGTTATTCATCAAACTTCTTCATAATATTTTGTCAACCCTGCTAAAATAGGTGATGAGTCTATTTCCTAGCTCAACCTCCTTAAGACACATGTCACAAAATATAAGACACAGGTCGCAAAATATGAGTGACTTCTCTATACCACATGACTGATGAATTGACTTCTTTAGTTTTAATTATTGCATTACTAACAAAGAAAAAGGAAAACATTACTATTTTAGATCAACCAGAGAATAGACATTAGCCACCCTCCAA